CCCCGGGGGGGGGGGGGGGGGGAGGGGGCGACCTTGATGGCCGGGGGTGCATGCGTAAGAGAAGATCACACAGTTTGATGGCCAACGCCCTTCGATTCATGCGGCGTCTTCTTTCTGAAGGAAAGGCGGCACGACAACGATTTTTTCATCGGTGTACTGTAGGTTGCGTACGGCGCCGCACCCCCTGGACCGATTTTTGTAACACAAACGCACCCCAGCGAAACCAGAGACGATGCCAAACCTTGTGGCGATGGAACCGTTTGGTCAAGGGCCTTCCGAAAATTTTCATTTTTGTGTGTGGCATCCTGTTCGCCGTGGTGCGAACGAGCTTTGAAAACTGGGTGCCCGAAATGTGTTTTTTTTTTCGCCTCGCAAGGTGGTCTCGTTGCCGCCCGCCGTCTGCGAAGACTCTCCATCGTCTCCGGGCGGTCCTCGAGACCACGGGGTTGATGATTGTGTCAGACGTTTGTTGCTCATGTTTCAGCGTCGCGGGTGCCGTCTGTTGGTGGATAGATCCACGCGGAGGAAGCGGCGGAGAGGCTGAGAGGGATGCTCGAGAGGAACCAACGCGAGCTGAGCTGGCACGTGGCCAGGGCGAACGGGTTGTTGGCGAAGTGGGCGGCTCAGGTGGGGGAGCGAGAGCCACGGCTATCGTGTACCGTGCGCTTTGGGCTGTTTGCTGCGCGTTGTGTGATTGGTGCCGAGCGCTGATGTGGCCTGGGTGCTATGTGGCCGATTCTCGTGTATTTGCTGCGTGTTGCGTGCAGGTGTTGGGTGTTTCGTGCTGCTTTGTCTTTTTTCAGGCATTCTCCGTTGACCGATGTGGCACCCCTTGTGGGTGGTAGCATTGCTGCCGAGGAGCACGCTACGCCCCCACTTGTGTGCAATATGTTCGGCCTATGCTCGCCGAATTCGGACAAGCTCACGGCTCCAGGCATCTGGGAATCGTTCCCTTGACGAAGTTCATTCTTACACGCGCGCTTCACCTGCAGGCAGCTGCAGAGGAACGGCGGCTGGAAGCTAGGCTCTCGAAGATGAGGGAAGGGCAAATGGCCGCTGTCTCCGAGGTCGTTACGACGGCAGAGGTAACACGCATGGCTTTTGTCGAAACATTATTGTTTTTGACGATGGGCGTCGAAAGGGAGGTTTAGTCTAGACGTCTATTGTCCCTGACACGTGGTGCCGACGGGCAGCATTTCTCGTGGTCCGTTGTAGCAACAGTGGACCGTTGTTCCTCTGTTGTCCAGGGTGTGAAACCGTGCAGCCTGGCATGGTCTGTCAAAGCCAACGAAGTTTCTGGTTTTGTTTTTGTGGCGAGGGGGCCTGATGACTCGCCCCCCATTGTCCTTCAGCCACAAGTGGCAATGCGCTCGGCATGAAAGCAAGGTTTGACTTGCTGTGTTCCCTCAACTTATTCAGAGCGGAAAATGCGCAGCTGGTGCCGCGCGATGAGTCAAGGCTGTGGGATTCGGATCTGATGTTGACCCTGACTGGTCTCAAGCACAAATACTCTCGATGCGACCAACAACGTCGCGAAATTCCACCCCGCGTAGGGACACCTCCGGCGGGCGGCGCTGGACAAACAGATACAGGGCGTCCGCGAGGAGTGGTTCGAGAGACAGGCGGTACTGAGGGAGCAGCTCACGAGGCGACAGCAGGACATCGCAGAGAGAATGCGCGCCGTAACGATCGATTCCAAGGTGGGTGGGTAGAGATGGCGGCGACCTATCCGTACCCGAGCCTGGATTTTTAAGTTCTCGTTTTGAGAAGGTTGTGTCACGGATTGTGTTGTTGTGGGGTTGGTGTGTTGTTTCTCCCGGAGCAAACCTTGGCAATAGTCCTCTTTTCATGAACCCGTTTTGTCGGGTCACCGCGGAACGCCTCAAGGGGGGAGGGGGGGGGGGGGATACGCCACAGGAGGATGGGTATGCGTTACGGTTCGTATACGGTCGTCGCTTGCCCCACCTCCTTCGACTACCCCTGCGGCTGCCCCTCCGGCTCTGCCCGCGAGTCCAACGCAATCCCTGTTGTTTTCGGCAGATTATGGCCAAACTGTACGACGAGTTCTTGATGGGGAAGAAGGCGAAAATCGACACGTCCGTCGCCAACGAGGACAGCTTCCGAAGGGCGCTAGAGCTTATCCTAGAGGTGCGGTTGTTGTTTTTGACTCTGTTGCTGTTGTTGCTGCTGCAGTTTCGGGTGCCTTCACGTACCATAGGGTCCTGGAGCTCACCTAGATGGTATGTGGCGGTTGTTTGCGCTGTCTGTACAAGTATTTCTGATGATGGTGGTCTTGCTGCCATGGTGAGTTGTTCGATGTTCGTAAAAGTCTTTGTTGGGTGTTCGTACAAGTCGGATTGCTTTTCCCCCCGCTGGTTCTTGCTGCCAGAGCCATCTCGTCGGCTGCCTCGAAATTTGTTACTCCGCGATACCTTGCGTTACACATGACGCGATGTTTTTTTTTCTTTCTGGATCCCCCCTCTCCACCCTTGTATCCTCTAGCTTATTATTTTTGTCGTTGCGGTGAAATTTCTATTTTCTTGTTTTGACGTGTGTATCTGCAGGATACGGAGGAGGGTGGGTGGGAGCGCGTGGTGAGCACAAGAAACGGTGCCCTCTCGGTTGAGCGAAAATTCATCGGGAAAAACTCCGGAGGAAGGTGTGGGTGTGGACCAAATAACCTCTGGGGATGCGGCTGATGTGGTTTACCCTGGGGCGTTTGCGCGGCTCGGCAAGAGCGGACGTCCGTCCGTTACGGCGACAGATAAACTTGCCCAAGCTAGGTAGTTCATTCAACGCGAAACGAGGACGGGGTGGTTGAGGTTTCTGGCCGGACGAAAATCTCGGGTAGATGCTCGGGGGGCGAAGGTGGTCAACTTTTGAAAGCCTGGATAGGCATCTACTTGCTCATGCGGTGGCCACTGGTCGTGCCGCTGGTTCGCCCTCCTTTGCGCTCCGCTACACCTGATGTTTCACTCCTCGCGCCTTCCCTGCTGAAAAATTCCGCTAATTTGGGCAAAATGTATGGCACGAAAACAAAGTTATACCGGTACGCCTCCTTTGAAACGTCAATACGTTTTATGCAGGCGACGGGGTGTGCCGACTTTTCCCACCTCCCACCCGCCACCTCTTGTGGCGAACACGCGATCGGTATCACCCCATCGCAAGGCACCCATGGTGACGGCTTTCCCGACCGTAAAGACCAAAGCATCCCTCGAACTACCTCGGGGACAACATTGTTACGGGCGCAGACGTTGACTGGCCGAATCATCGTCCGAGAGATAGTCATTTCCTATCCGGCGCAACGCGTGTGTTTGCCTCTCTCTCGCCCGATGATGCTGCTGCTGCTGCGCAGCAAGTTCGCGTGCATCCGTGCGTGGTGCTCCATGGACGTTCCCGCGGAGGCCATAGCGGAGATGATGGAGTCATCGGAGCGGGTCAAGGAGTACAACAAGTGAGAGAGCTGCGGCAGCAGCAATGGGGTGGCACTTGGGCCAGTTTTTGGACAGTACAGGTTGAGAAGGTCATCGTGTTGAGCACGTACCACGTGTACCATAGGCGGCAGCAGAACACACCACACACCCTGGACCGAGTTTCAAATGATGCGTTCTCCACGATAAAATTCCGACGCCGTCATTTTTGGCACCATCACTGCGAGTTTTGATGCAGCGTAGTCGGGTTTTTAACAGTCGGTTCAGGGGGGAACGGTGGTAACTTGAACAACCGTCATTTTTGGCACCATCACTGCGAGTTTTGATGCAGCGTGGTCGGGTTTTTAACAGTCGGGTCAGGGGGGAACGGTGGTATCTTGAACAACCTGCGGTTTAGATGGGTGTTGTAAAAGACCGTGATAAGGGGTTGACAGACTAGCGATGCACGCGATGTCGGCGGCCTCAGGAGGGTGAACAGCCCGTACCGTACCAGTTGCGCTTGAGAGGTGGAGAGACCTCAAGTTGGCTTTGTACCTGGGTAGTCTTAGACCCCCTCACGCACGGAAGGTGGAGGCTTGATAACCGCTGATATGACGAAGTGACTCGCAGTCAGCCGAAGAAACTTGTGTACGGTCACCCAGAAGACACGGCTTCTCTCCGTGCTATTGCCCATGTCAGAGTAACGCGACCCAAGCAGGGCTCGGAGGATACGGTTACATGTCCTTCCGCTTGTACGGACATGGGTAACCGTATCCTCTGGGCCTTCTCGTGAGACGCTCTACTCTGGCATGGGTAGATCGCATGGCGAGATCCAGAGCCTTCCGGGCGACGGTGCACAAGCCTCGGCTAGCTACGAGTGACTCATCACGTCAGCGGTTTTGAAGTCTCGGCCCTTGATGCGTGTGGGGGTTATCTGAAGACTACCGCGGTGCCAGACCGACAATGCTTGTCCCACGCAACTTGCACGCACCCCGGTTAACCCTGGGCTCATCCAGGTGGTTCTTGGAGGGACGCGACCTGGAGTTGCTGGACGAAAACACCAAGGTGGTTTGGGCGTCTAGCCCTTCTCCCTTGCCCTTCGTGAAGCCCAGGGACTTCGTGACGGTGGTCCACGTCCGAAGGCTCGAGGACGGCTCGATCATCGTGGTCAACAGAGGGTACAAGCACCCGGAAGCTCCGGTGAATGGGGCTATTCTGTCTTGTGGTTTGCTTTTGCTGCTGCCGTCTTTGTTTGGGGGGGGGTGTAACGGCGTGGTGGTCGGTCGGTGCTTTCCGTTGGTGCTGTTGGTATTTTGTCGCTGCTGCTGACGTTTCTGCTTGCGGGGGTTAGTTACACCGTTGCCTCGCCGTTCGTTCCGCCGACGAGCTTCGCACCTGACAGCGACATTCTAGAGTGTGATGCCGCCGCCACTTTTCAGTCGTTTCAGTTTTTTTGTCTCTATTCAATAGTCCTCCGTCCGTCAAAGATTCACTCCCTCGCGAACTCGTTGTTAACTTCGTGCATTTTTTTCCCTCCTCATTTTACTAACTACCGTCTCAAGCCGTCGACCGAGTACGTGCGAGGAGAGGTGATCCTTGCGGCGAACGTCATCCGACCGGACCCTAAGGACAGAAATCGGACGCAATTCACGCTCCTCACGCAGGTGAGGGGGGGGGGGGGGGGGGGGGGACTTTTTTGG